GACCACTATCCTGTCTTCCACCAGTGGCTGGTGCCAGATGCTTGAGGGAATGACCAGAGCAATGCATTTATTGAGTGCTTCATCCTGTCGTCCAGTCCCAGCTTCTGGCAGTCTGAGGCTTAGGGACACTCAGAGCATGGGGTTGCATCTCTGATCATCTTGGCTAATAACCAACGAGGGATCTATCCTCCATAAATTTACCCAATTGTTTTTTTAACCCATTATAATTTTCACCTTCACAACATCCCCTGGCAATGAGTTCCAGAGGTTGTTTGTCCGTGGTGTAAAGAAGTACTTCCTTATGTTTCTTTCAAACATGCTGTCTATTAATTTAGTAACTTGAAGTTACTAAAAACAGGATTGGGGACTTCAACAGCAGAGTCCAGGGAAGGGGTAGGGACGGTTTTATGGCCTGCAGCATGCAGGGGGTCAGACCAGATGATCATAATGGTCCCTTCTGACCTTAAAGTCTATGAGTCTATGAATTTCATTGGGAGACTTCTGATTATTGTGTTACTTCTGATTAGTGTATTATGTGAAGGAGTAAATAACACTTCTTCCTTCACTTTTTCCACACCATTCATGATTTTATAGCCCTCTATCACATCCCCCCTTAGTTGTCACTCTTCTAAACTGAACAGTCCCAGACTTTTTAATCTCTCCTCCTATGGAAGCTATTCCATACCCTTAATCGTTTTTGTTGCCCTTCTCTTTACCTTTTCCAATTCTAATATATCTTTTTTAGAGATAGAGCAACCAGAACTGCACACAATATTCACAATGTGGGCATACCATGGATTTATATAGCAGCATTATGATATTTTCTATCCCTTTCCTAATATTCAGTCAGCTTTTTTTGACTGCCACTGCACATTGAGTGGAGGATTTCAGAGAACTGCCCACAGTGACTCCAAGATCTTTTTCTTGAGTGGTAACAGCTAATTTACACCCTATCATTTTATATGTATAGTTGGGATTATGTTTTCCAATGTGCATTACTTTGAATTTCATTTGCCATTTTGTTGCCCAATCATCTACTTTTAGTGAGATCCCTTTGTAATGTTTTGCAGTCAGCTTTGGACTTAACTATCTTGAATTTTTTTTTTTTAAATCTGCAAACTTTGCCACCTCACTATTTACCCCTTTTTCCAGATCATTCATGAATATGTTGAACAGCGCCGGTTCCAGGACAGATCCTGGAAACCCGGCTGTTTATCTTTCTTCACTGTGAAAACTGACTATTTATTCCTACCCTACCTGTTAACCAGTTACTGATCCACAAAAGGACCTTCCCTCTTATCCCATGACTTCTTGCTTTGCCTTTGGTGAAGGACATTGTCAAAAACTTTCTGAAAGTCCAAGTACGCTATATTCACTGGATCACCCTTGTCCACGTGCTTGTTGACCCCCTCAACGAATTCTAATAGATTGATGAGGCATGATTTCCCTTTACAAAAAAACATGTTGACTCTTGCCCAAGAGTTCTTGTTCATCCTATGTGTCTGATAATTCTGTTCTTTACTATAATTTCAACCAATTTGCCTAGTACTAAAGTTAGGTTAACTGGCCTGTAATTGCCAGGATCACCTCTGAAGCCTTTTCTAAAAATTGGTGTTACATTAGATATCCACCAGTCATCCGGTATAGAAGTTGATTTCAGCGACAGGTTACATACCACAGTTAGTAGTTCTGCAATTTCATTTCTGAGTTCCTTCAGAACTCTTGGGTGAATACCATCTGGTCCTGGTGACTTATTACTGCTTAATGTATCACTTTGTTCCAAAACCTCCTCTATTGACACCTCAATCTGGGACAGTTATTCAGATCTGTCACCTAAAAAGAATGGCTCAAATATCAGAATCTCCCTCACATCCTTTGCAGTGAAGACAAATGCAAAGAATTCATTTAGCTTCTCCACAATGACCTTGTCTTCCCTGGCTAAACCACCTGCTCCAAACATCTTACAAAACTACAGTCTAGCAGCAGCAACTTACCATTGAAGCAATTACAGATGTCTTCATGAGTGACATATGAAAATGTGATTTATGTCAAGGAAATTGTCAAGAAGTAAGAAGCTGAGATTTTTGCCTAAGCAATGTGAAGTTGATATTTAGTGCAGTGTACAAAAGAAGTTTGTGTTCCTACAGTGTGTTGTTTAGGGGAAGGTCTACACTTTACATTTTTACTGTTATAGCTAATGTTGAGTGGGAGCTGTGACTGACATAACAGTGGCAAAAGAATGCAGCTATACAAATGCAGAATTTTGTCAATATTAGCTATGTCTACATTATAAATGCTTTGTCAATATAGCATACCAGTATAACTAGACCAGCAAAGCCTTTCAAGCACAGCTTGGCCTTAGACTACCATTAGAAAGTTTCCAAAATGTTATTTAAATGTATTTCACACATACTACCACCATCTCCTTTTTACTGATAAGTCTGGTTAATATCATATCACTATGATACAGTATGTCCAAAGCCATCATGGATCAGCATGAATTCCAGATGGATCCAGGATGAATTCTGCCAGTGACAACATACCCATCAAAGAACTAGATGCAGCCTACAGGATAGGCAAGGCAAGCGGCTTTGAAAAGAAACAACATCCTGTGTTTAATTCATAGTCTATGGGAATTGCTCTATGAAAAATCCTTAAGTTCAAGGTTTTACCTGTCAACCATAAAAATACACAGGTCAGCACTGGAGCTTGGAAAAAGAATTGTTTGCTTTACTGGGGAAAAAAACAACAAAAATGTTAGCTGCTGTAAGTATAGTTAAGAAATAAGTCAACAGAACAGAAAGCTATGAGATGTTTTACTGTTTCTGTGTAAAAACTAGAGCAAAATCAAGACATTGTCATTATCAAGAGAGAGAAAACTGGTTCCCAGATCCATGTTATGTAAGTTTTTCTTCTAAATAATTTAGAACCAAAATGATTTAGTTTTAATGAGTTTGTCTGATGGAATTTGGTGCAGTCAAATGAATTTTGCTAACTCTGCCACCATTAACATATAAATTATTTTGTAATAATTGCAAGCCACTAAAATGTAATTTAAAAAACCACCACCAAATAGGAACCTGTTGATGTTCAGAAGTAGGACAGAGAGCTCTGAATATATCTTAATGCAAGGGCATGGCAGGGCTTCCAAAGGTGTAAAACAAGTTCTATTTTAAAAATTTGTGTGTACACCCATATCCTCATACACTTAAAACAACTTTGAAAGCACCTGCTTTCCCTTTCCCTTTCAAATTGGTCCTGAAAACGCATCCTGAAAATCAACATGTTGGGTTTAATCCTGTAATCCCACCACATACAAGTAATAAGTATTTCAAACTGAGTACTGCACATGGCGTTTTTTTAGGACTGGACTTCCCTGAGAAACCATTTGCAACTAGAGAGACAGTGCCATATATTTGTATAAACTATTTTGAAGTTTCATGCAATACGTTCTTAGTCAATGTTTCAACTAGGTTATAACTAATCACTGTAGTTTCCATTTCAAATCTACCCTTTTTCAAATGTAAAAGCTGATTTCTGAAAGTCATTTTATCTGTAGTGTTTAGAAGTAGAGGCCAGGCACTTAGGGTTTTGTTTTGCTTACTAGGTATTCAGCTTGCAGCATCAGACAAGACAAAACTTAGCCCTACATTGCTTTAGATATATAATTACATTCCAATTACTCCATTATTTTGTTAACAAGGTTTGGTACACTATTCACTATTAGACCTTCTCTGGTGGCTTGGGGTGCCCAATCCCACTCCATTCCCAGCACTCTCAGCAAACAGACTCCACTCAGAGCTTTGTGAAAGTGGACCAAACTGTGCCTTCACAATCAATAATTCATTTAAAAATGGATTGGTGCACATGCAGAGTAATCTCTTTATTCAATGGGAAATGATTTCACAGCTCATTCGGGCCTCAATTCAGCATAGCACTTAAACACATTTAATTGCTTTGCTGATTAGAGACCTTACCTGTTATCTGTATTGACTAGATTCACTTTAGAACAGCTGCAGTCTATCAGGTTAATGATCTGTGAATTTAAGCAGGCTCTGAGGTGATAAAAATCACTGATTTGACTGGAGCAGTTTGTACTGAACAATCATAATATAGTGTTAAGTGCTTTAGAGCTACTTATAGATAAGAGTGCACTTTTCCCTCTCCAAAATCTCTAATGACCTATTTTGTTCAATATCCTCTAAGGGCTTGTCTATACTGGCACTTTACAGCGCTGCAACTTTCTCGCTCAGGGGTGTGAAAAAACACCCCCTGAGCACAGCAAGTTACAGCGCTGTAAAGTGCCAGTGTAAACAGTGCCCCAGTGCTGGGAGCCAGCGCTGTAAGCTAATCCCCTAATGGAGGTGGAGTACCAGCAGCACTCCCACGGCAGCGCTTTGGAGTTTCGACTGCAGCCATGCCCGTGGAAGTAGGTTATTTTAAAGCGCTGAGAGAGCTCTCTCCCAGCGCTCTGCCATGACTACACAAGCCACGTTAAAGCGCTGCCATGGCTTTACCATGGGCAGTGTAGACTAGCCCTAAGAATGCTAAACATGTGGTTACAAACTAATGAGCAAATATAGTTTAAACAACAGACTTATTACCTGTTTACACACAGGATATTTTCAGTTCCAGTTTCAACAAGCCTCAGGAGTTTGTCAACTCATATCTTTTCAAAAGATTTAGATAACCTATCCTATGAACAACCAAAGAAGAATATCCTGGAGTATCCTAAATCTAATTTAAACCACGAAAGCAGTTAATTTCAGTTAATGCTAAAAGTCTAGATTTTCTACATTAAAAAATTACCACTGTGTAAATTTCTGATGGATTATTTCCAGATTACCATTGATACAATCACAGAGGTTAAAACTTGAAAACACCTATTAAACCAGTGGTTTTCCACCTTTTTTTCATGTGCAGACCCCTAAAACATTTTGAATGGAGGTGGGATCCCTTTGGAAATCCTAGACATAGTCTGCAGACCCCCTAAGGGTCCATGGACCACAAGTTGAAAACCACTGTATTAGACCATCCAGTGCCTCTCTCTGCCAATACAAGATTGTTCCCTACAGTACATTGTCCAGCGCTTTGTCTAGTTTGTTTTTAAAATGCCACGAGCAAAGTTTCTTCTACTCCTTTAGATCTCACTGTGTATTCCACAGCCTAATGGATCTTGCTATTGTCTCATAGCACTTGCTTCACAAGGTGAGTTAATTTCACTACCAGTGCAAAAGAAAATTGAAATCACATTTTAACAGAAAAATGCTTGAGACCAATTCCATTTCTTCTAGAGTTAGTAAACCCCTCTTGGTCACCTAGTTCAAATATCTTCTCACTTCTAGAGCAGGTCATATTATGTGACCAACCTTTTAACATATGACTGGTGCTTCTTTAATTCTATTTCATGAATGGACACAATGTACGTCCCAAAGGATATTGGTTGTTTGTGGAGTCATCCATAACATTTTTGATGCTTTGCTGCAGCCACAATTTTTGCTGATCCAGCTCTTTTTCTTTTAGTTCCAAATCTTCAATTTCTGCTTCAAGATACCTCAGTCTGTCTATGACTTCTTTTGTATTGCAGCCAGCACCTACACCTCTTTAAAAAAGGTACAATATTTTATGCAGTCACAATATATGTAATGATAATGTAAAAAACTACAGAGAGAGAGAGAGTTTGAAGCATAGGTCTTGCTTTTTTTATAAAAAAAAAACCCACCATATTAATTATATTATGAAATACTAAGATGTAGTAAAATTCCTGCTTTTATTTTTTAAGTAGAAAAATATTGAAAAATGTCTTAATTTTGGGGCCAACGTTGGGATTCCAGTCACTGTTTTCCATTTTCATGGCAGGTGGCGTTTTCTGTGTCAGGGCTGTGTACCCAGCTCAATTCCCCCTAGTTAGCTCCTCACTGGGGCGATGGGAGAATGGAACATGTTTTCTCATAGACAGAATCTTAGGCTAGCACACTGCCTGCCTGGTTCTTGGCACTGCTCTGTTTAACTCTACAACACACTTCAGAGCCACATCCCCAATCCCTGCTCAAACTCATCTTGAAGTTCAAAGATTTCTTTCTTTTATGTAGCAAGTTATAAAGTTATGTTATATAAATTTTAGTGCCCATGAAAATTGCCAGATTTTCACTTTTCAGGATTGTCACTTTAATCTAGACATGGTACAGTATGAAAAACAACAATGCTAAATTGTCCCTCAGATATGCTGAAAACTTCAGACTTCACGGCTCAGAGTACTTCAGTCTCCAGCACCATTCAATTTTTGGCCTCTCTGAAAACAAGGACGACAATTGCAGTGAGGACACCTGGTCATTAGGAACTGGATTGAGACCACTGACATATTCTACATAGGCTACCACTGATTACAAAATTAATTTTAATTGTTGAATATAGACAAGGAAAAAGGAACAAGGCCAACTTTTTCCTCGCTTGAGAATGTGAAAATATGCAGAATTGACACTTCTTACTTCCATTGGATGCTGTTTTTTGACTTTTTCTCAATTAAATCTATGCCTTCCAAAACATTGGTGATGTCATAGATTCTTCTTTTTTGTCTCACAGCAAGAGTATCAGCAGCCTGTTAAAAGAACAGAGATAAGTGTCAGCAATCTGCACACCAAGGCAAAAAACTGGCCCATTAGGCTGCTCACCTGAAGCTCAGCAAGCTTCCTGGGTGCTGATTCCAGGTCCATGGTTTCTCAACCTGCAGGTCACGACCCAAAACTGGGTCGCCAGAACACGTCAAAGAGTTGCAGGGCTGGCTAGGCTTGGCTCCTTGCTCCCTGTGTTGTGACCCCCCCCAGTGCACAAGGTTGCAGCGCCGCCTAGGTTTGGCCTAGAAACCCCTATGTCATGACATGATGATGGGATGCAAGCTGGGCCAAATTTGAGTGAGAGGTGCTACGACCCTATGCGCCAGGTCACAATGTTACTTGCACAAATTCCCCCCCTCACGCCCCCCCAGCAGGGTGGCCAGGCTAAACCGGAGCAGTACTGTGACGCTGGTGTATGTAACACCCAGAGTGGGGAGCCAAGCCCAGCCGGCTACAAGGTCAGGAGCCAAGAGGGAAACGGTATCATGTTCTAAGTAAAGTACTGGCCTCCCAAAGCGTATCCTGCCCTGCAACCGAGCAGCACCTCTCTTCTACTCCTGTCCTCACCACCAAGCTTGCCCCCGCCCAATGTACCCCTCTCACTCAGCCAGATGACTTCCCCTCTGTCATGCTACCTATACCCCAACTAATTCCTTCCTCCATCCCCCCCACTTTACCTCCAGGACCTCAAATTCCCCCCAGCCCTCTACTGCCTATGGGCAGTGTGGGGGGCTATATTTTGGGGGCACTATAGGCTCATCGCCCCTCCCCCAGTCTGCTTTGCTCCCATATCCTTCTCCCCCCCGTCCAGTCCCCCGCATCCCTCTGCCTGCCCCCAATTTCTTCCCCAGGTTCCCCTCCACCTCTGACATGGGCCATATAGAGGGAGGGTGTGTTTTTGGGGGGATTATCTTGGCTCCCCCCCCCCCAGTTGCTGGTTGGGGGGGTTTCCAGCTATTCACATCTGGCTAGAGCACCTGGAATCTTAGCTCTGAGCCCCCGTCTCCTGCCCCACACCCCTGAACCCTGGAGGGGGGGCCTTTGGGTTGCAACATATCATTAAGGTTTACAAATGGTCCTGAACTCCAAAAGATTGAGAAACACTGCTGTAGTCATAATTCTGAAGGGAAAGAGTTCACGATTCAACAGTCACACATTTTTACGGCCCTTAGTTTTCAATTTTTACCAATTTTTAATAAAAAACAATAATTCTCGGTTTTTACAAAAGCTATTATTTAGTTTTTATGGATTTTAACCCAAATTTTGGACCATTTAAGTACATGAAAAGTACTGAGTATGTTAAACAAATCTACCTAATGGACTGGATTTTCTTATGTTAATAATAAATTAGTCTGAGTGTAAATGCAAGGCTGTCTGTTAAAGTAAGGCAATGTAGTGGAAGATACACACATGTATATGCATGCATGTGTGTATGTACAGTTAATGTACAGCTAATGAAATGAACCAACATTAAACTGCTTTTACTTTCGACACTCTTACCTTTCTATGTGTTGCTTTTTCTTTCCTTCCATCCCCCAATATTAACTGCTAATATTTACCCCAAAAAACTGACATTGATTTTTTTGTATCAGTTTTCACCCATTTTTTTAAGTTTTGTAACAAACACTAAAATTTCTCAGGAATTTATCAAACAAAATACAAACCACAAACAAAAGACCTTGCACATTCTGCACCACTCTCCTTCAAGATCAGAGTCCAACCAAACTCCATATAAAAATGGCATGCAGAGCTCTACAAACCATGCTCAGAGAATCCGCCCATTACCTCAACATAGGGGCCAGTTCTTCCATAGCCAGCTGGGTATATGCCAGGCAAGAAAGAGTACAAAGGTGCTGTCAATGTCCCAAATATTAAATAACCAATCCCTCTCCTTCCTCCCAATCCCATAAAAAAAAGTCTGAAATTTTCTTTTTGGAAGGTGGAGAATGAGAATATGGAAGAAGGAGGGCAGTATCTCTCTGCAACAACAAACAAATAAACCCAAAGAGTAGAGGAGGTTCGAAGGGAGCCTACCTCCTCTGGTGACTCTGAAAAGCTAATCCAGTTCTATGCTGGATTAACTCATGTTCACCTTAGAACCACACATCACGGAATAGTTAAAGCCTCAATAACCGGGGGTAGTCTAGCCAAAAAAATTTCAGGGTGTCTTGTGTGATATAAAACAGAGCAGCTACCTTTTGTTAATATATTTCTGGATCCCACCATTGGACCTTCTCTCCAAATCATTGAGGAAACACTTATAGAGCAACAAAGCAGATTGATTCTTCATGTGTTCCATGAGAAATGTAGAAATCATAAGACATAACAGAGTGTAGCAACTTTATAATTAGGAAAGCCTTTAATACAGACCCTTGTATTAAGAACAATCCACAATTAGAATTGGGAGTAGGACTGATTTTGCTTTTATATAGCATGTTCCATACTAAAGCTATTGAAACACATACAAAGAAATGAGATAGAAACATAGCATAGCAATTTAATGGACAAATGTGGAAGTCATTACACACTTACCAATAGCTCACAGCTTTGGACAATTGAAATGTTTCACTAGAGAACAGAAATGTTGATTAAGTCTCCAGAATTATCCCCTACCTTTTGAAAAAGGCTTAGTAAGCGTAACTTCTACCTGGAAATCCAGCAAAGATAGGTAGAAAGAATCTCATTTTAAAAGCCATCTATCATAATTAAACCCAACAACATTCAGCACTTGATTAACGCTCCACTATTTCTGCTCCAGAAGACATAACTGCCAACTAAGATTCAAACCAACACACGACTCTTCTCCTATGAGACTGAGGAATTAAGAATACATACAAAGTACAGGTGGATTAATATGTGAATCAAGGTAATAACCTATTACCCAGCAGATAAACAAGGTCTGAGACAGATTAGTTTATCCCTAAAAAGGAATGAAGTAATGGACAAAAGCAAAGGGCACCCATTCTACTATTGTTTTACTGCAAGTATTACATGTCCCGCTTTTTAAGTCACCTCTAAAAATAGGGAAGGATACTAAATTGGAACAGGTGTGTGGAAAGTTTTATTTTTAAATAAAGTACTCAGTCTTCAAACTCTTTAGTAATGGTGCAGAAGACAGTAAACTATTTAAATAAATAAAATACATGTGAGATTAAAAACAAGGATTTTTGGAAAGCAGGAGAGATAGATAATGATGCAAATGAGTCATTTTATTGAAGAAGAATGTGACAGTAACTCTTTGCATTTCTAATCATGAAACTCAGTTGTACATTATGGTCAAAATCTACTAATGAATACACTCCGTACATCTGTCTGTGTAATCATACATTAAAAATGCCAAAAACCAGAATAAAAAATAAACCTATTGTACAGCAAAGGCCATACACTTCCATCTTTTCTAAAACATAACCAACTCACTGACCTGCCAAGCAGAAAACAAGTTGTAAGGAATTTCAATAGACCAAACCGTCCTGATTGGCGTTTTAATTAATAAGATAAAGATACAGTATAAAAGGAAAATGGGGAAAACAATTTTCACAGTCTTACATTATAAGTAAAGGAATGCTACTTCCACTTCACATGCAATACCTATCAAACGAGATTATTAATGGCAAGAAGGAATTACTACAGCCCATATCAAAAAGATATTAAATTAGTAACAGCATGTTGTACTTTCCTGATTTATTAAACAAATATGCAACCTTAATTTTGTCACCCTGTGCATATGGATTGTGTTACAATCCTTCCTTATATGATCATACACTATTTTTTCACAGGACCCCTGCCTCATTCAGTGCAAAGGATGGTCTGTGTTCACTTAATGAGCAGCTATTCAATATTCTGTTTTCTCCTCGTTGTTCAATGTGTGCCCTATGCCTTATTTACTGCACAATAGTCAAACCCTGCTCTAAAGCCAGAATTAATTTCCTCATAGGTTTTTCTATGGCATTCATCATACTCTGAAACCTATAATATCTGACTACTTCATAGGCCTGGTCTACATTAGGAGGTTATGTCGAATTTAGCAGCGTTAAATCGAATTAACCCTGCACCCGTCCACACAACGAAGCTATTTAGTTCGACATAGAGGTCTCTTAAATTCGATTTCTGTACTCCTCCCCAATGAGGGGAGTAGTGCTAAATTCGACATGGCCATGTCGAATTAGGGTAGGTGTGGATGGAAATCGATGCTAATAGCTCCAGGAGCTATCCCACAGTGCACCACTCTGTTGACGCTCTGGACAGCAGTCCGAGCTCGGATGCTCTGACCAGCCACACAGGAAAAGCCCCGGGAAAATTTGAATTCCTTTTCCTGTCTGGGCAGTTTGAATCCCATTTCCTGTTTGGACATCGTGGCGAGCTCAGCAGCACTAGCAACGATGCAGAGTTCTCCAGCAGAGGTGACCATGCAATCTCAGAATAGAAAGAGGGCCCCAGCACGGACTGATCGGGAAGTCTTGGATCTGATCGCTGTGTGGGGCGATGAGTCCGTGCTTTCGAAGCTGCGATCTAAAAGACGGAATGCAAAGATCTACGAGAAGGTCTCAAAAGCCATGACAGAGAGAGGATACAGCCGGGATGCAACGCAGTGCCACGTGAAAATCAAGGACCTGAGACAAGCGTACCAGAAGACCAAAGAGTCAAACGGACGCTCCGGATCCCAGCCCCTGACATGCCGTTTTTACGAGGCACTGCATTCCATTCTAGGTGCGGCCGCCACCACTACCCCACCACTGACCGTGGACTCTGAGGATGGGATATTGTCGACGGCCGCTTCCTCGGAGATGTTAGCGGACGGGGAAGATGAGGAAGAGGACGAGGCAGTCGACAGCACTTACAATGCTGATTTCCCAGACAGCCAGGATCTCTTCATCACCCTCACAGAGATCCCCTACCAACCGTCCCCAGGCGTTAACCCGGACCCTGAATCAGGGGAAGGATCAGTCGGTAAGCGTTTTAAACATGTAAACATTTATTTTGAACA